TAAACAATAGTGAGTTGTTAGATATTCTACGTACAGCAAATCCCACAGAACCAGACGATATAGAGCAATTGGCAAAATCTCTTCCATATTCACAATCTAACACTACCTCTACCCAGCAATTTCCTTTTCTAAAATGTTCTTCTACTTCTTTAATGTGTTTGTTTTCTCCAAGTAATCTTCTGACATACCCAGCATATTCTTCTGCTGAATTATCTGGAAGATTGTATATTGGCATCTTTGCTATAAAGGATTGATCTTCTTTACAGATTCTGTTCTCTGGAGAACATATACTTTGTTCTATCATGGCTGTAAGGATTGGTGTTTTATTTTCTGTTTCTTGTCTATTAGCAATCATTGAGTTGTTACATTCAAACTCTACTTGTTGTGTCTTGATTACATCCCTTAGGATGCTGTCAACTGGAGCTTCTTCATCCTTTTTAATCTTCTTTCCTCTTAATGTTGAACTTTCTACGTTTTGATCTCTTGATGTAGTCTTTATATCTTCAATATACTGATTATTTGTTAGGAGATATACGAAATTATCTCCTAACATGCTGTTTATTTCTTCAATTGTATAGCGATTAGTTGTTTCTTGTTAATTTGGTTTAATACTTAGATCTTGAAGTTGTTCAGCTACATGGTCTATGTTTTTATTTGTTTCTTCTTCATCTTCTGATGATCTTTTTTTCTTTGGTTCTGAAAACTGAGACTTTTCAACTAGACCTTTTTTTTCAAGTCCTTCCATCTTGCTTTTCTCCTTTTTTATTTCCTCTTCACTCATATTTATCATATAATTTACGATGATGGGTTATTACTTGCTATTTTCGCTTGTACTGCCAAATGCTTAATGGTATCTTGTTGCAGAAACTTTTCTGCTTTCTTAAGCACATTACGTATTTGGCCATATAAAAGCATATCGAATATTGTAATTTTTTCTGGATTACTGATTGCAAGGTCTTTTGCCAATTGCTCTATATCATCTGGTTCTGTGGGATTTGCTGTATGTAGAATATCTAACAATTCACTGTTGTTTAGATATTTAAGTACTTTACCTGCTGTCCTACATATAAATTCAAGGAGCCCACCAGTAACCGGTATTTCTTTATTAAGTTCCATTTGTTTCTAGAAGTTTCTCCTTTTTGATATATATTTGTTTAATTTTACACGTGCGTGTTCCTGATTTGTGTTTGTTTACTTTACACGTGCACAGTTTCCTTGATTTGTTATTTACTTAGAATATGTGTTTGTTAATAAAATATAAAATATAATATATAATATGAAATAATATTCTATAATTAATTTATACAATATTACAACTACTAGTATAACAGCTTCCTCTGCCTTTAGAAATTTGCTCTGCAAATTTAATTTCTGTTTCTAAGTGCTTGGATATAAGTCACTAAGTTTTGAAACTCCAAAGTATCTATTTTATCCAAAGTTCAAAGAGACATTTTCTTGATTCAATAAATTTGTTTATAATCTACATAATGAAATAGAGTATAAACTCAAGTCCAAGTTTTCTTCTAGGTACAAAAAATATCAACAAGATTTTCTTTAGGCTTTTCAATCAACAACTTTTCTAGGTAATAAGCATAGGCTAAGATATAAATATAGCCTTTATTATTTTGTTATTTAGCAGCTTTTTGGTATTTGTCATAAGTGGTATCAAAGTATTTATTCCAAGGTTCAGCACTGAAGTAGGAAACAGTCACAAGGTTAATTTGGATAGGAGTTATATGAACCAAGTTCTCTTTAATTCTATCTAGCTTGTTTTTAGAAAGTTAAAAAAAGTTGACAGATTTTTCTATACTTTCCATAATAATGATGTTTCAGTAGTGTTTATACTTGGCCAAAAAAATGTTACTTGGTTAACTAGCAAGTAAACCTATAGGTTACTTGAGTAATCAATAGATATATCTGAATATAAAATCTTACTCATTATACCTGAGTAAGTTGTCATGTGATTGGTTATATGAATTATTGTAGCCAATAAAAACTTACATTTGTTGATGAATCTACCCGGGTAGCTTTAGTAATTACCCAGTTTTCATAATTTCTAAAACACCTGATTAAAAATCTGCTGAAAGATTTTTCATTAAGTTATTATTTTGGCATAATAGATTCAATAAAATTTCAAATTACATACTGTATGTATGTACATACATGCATACATAACTTTTACATTAAATAATGCAATAGTACAAAATTTTGTTGACTTGTTCTGGACAATGATATTTACATAACAAAATTTATATATCAGAAATTTATATGCAAATCTCCACCCTATATACTGATATATTCCTATATCCCTATATATATATAAAAGACATATGCATTATATATGATACTTTTCTACAATAAAATGTTAACATTATGATGTTCAGGTCCTATAGCTTAATGGATAAGCTCCTGTCCTCCTACAGACAAGGTTAACGGTTCGAGTTTGGCTGGAGGTAGAATACTCTGTAACCTAAAAAGGAGCCTATAATCGTACGCGAAACCCTGTGGAAGTCCAAGTGAAAGTATATGTTTGGTTTAAGGAATTCACAGAAAGAAACCAGTATAGCAGAGCACGGGCACTACTATAGTGAGAATGTGGAGAATGTCACTGATGTTTGTAGAAAGGATTAGCCTTATCTAATATAGAATCACCTCTGGCGCAATAAAATCCAGATAAGGTGTGGCTGTGAAAACTACCTCCTTTGGTAGAATTTACCTCATGGGTAAAGTAGCCTGAAGGTTGGACCAAGTATCTAAATTAAGAATCACATAAGCAGAATAACATTAAAAATCAGAGAGTTTAAATAGAGAACTCACAAGTGGGTCTTAGATATGGCAATGAGTAGAGAACCTACGAGCAGAACCCTTAAATAGAAAATGACTAAAGTTGTACATGTGGCTTATTGTACCCTCATTGATATGTTACTGTAAACCCTTCCATAAAAATACAGACTGCAGATACTTTAATAATAAAGGGAAACCCCCCAACCAATGAGGTCGTTCTATAAACCATAAAAAAAAAAAAAAAAAAAAAAAAAAATGTTAACATTATAAAATGTCAGCACGTTCAATATTACTAAATTTCGTTTAAATACTTGCCTGACATATTTAGTGCTATAGTTTGTTTAGTCTGTGTGAAACATATACATAAATTGTAATTTATCGTTATGTATCGATCATGTCGAAATCAATAACTTAACCGGATCGGCCAAAAAACCATTTGGCAAATTTTTATCAGGTGTTTCAGAAATTATGAAAACAGCTATAACTGGTTAACCGCAGGTAACTTGGGTAATACCTGACCCTGATATAATCTCTGTATATATTCACTATTAAAAACTAGATAATTTAGTCAATTATATGAAAGTATTCTTACCTGGGTATTATTTGAGTATACTTACTCAGGTAATACTTGAGTGTACCTACCTGGGTGTACCTACCTGAATAGCTGTAGTTATTACCCGGTTATCTGATTACTCGCGATTAACCCGAGTAATACTTGACCCGAGTACAATTACTACCTTCACAAGAGTTTGGAAACTTTTTTTTCATATAATTTAAACTTAAAATAATATGTCAACTGAAGTATTATAATTAATTAAATTTTTAAGATTTTACTTTCAATTTCTTCTGGTTTTCCAAATTAATCAAATTGAATACTCTTAGAAACCACTTGCATATTATAAGGAATAACAATTTCTAAAAGGACAAATGAGCTTCTGGTATTAATATTACTAAAAAATTTACTTAAGTCATCTAAAGTTACTTCATCCTTATAACCTAATTGCAAAACTATAAATATTTTAACTTCTTTTATATACTTAGGCAATAATTTTGCTAGTTTTTCTAAATAATCTCCTAATTTTATATTTTTAAATTAACAACAAAGTAATTTTGATATAGTATCAAATATTGCAAGCTTAAAACCCAAGAAATCTTTAAATAATCCAGATTATATAAAATTAATCCAAGTGAAAAATCTACAATATTTGGGCAACTTTCAAAAGCTATTTCAAAAATTTTCTCAATTTTATTTCTACAACATGGATCTATGATTTTAAAGGTTCTTAAACTTGAATTGCAAAGTAAAAGAAGTTTAATGACAGGTGCTATGGAGTTATAAATTATAAGTTGTTTAAGAAGAATTTGGTTTGTTAAGTTAGGCCACACAAAATTATATACTTGGTTTTCATATC